GTATAACGCAACCATAGTCTCAAAGTAAACACGTTTTTACGGCAATTGGCCGCGAACCACGAACCCTCGGATTCATAGTTCTAGCATTCTAGCTACTTGGCCACGCCCGGCCAACGTGCTATATTGGTCATAATATGTTACCATCAGTGTTTACGAGATGTAGACGTTATAATACAACATATTCAGAACGCCTACGTAATATAGACGTTATAATACGACATATTCAGAACGCCTACGTGATATAGACGGTATAATACGACATATTCAGAATGCCTATGTGATATAGACGTTATAATATAACAGGTTTAGGTATTTATTCTCACAGGTTTGTTTATTTTGTTGCTAAGAGCAAAAAATACACAATGGGCTATACACGCATGGAACCCCTATTTTTAGCGTTATAAGCCATCAAACTTACAGTTGAGTCTCCGGGGAAGAGTGTCCAGTCTTGTTCTCGCAACTACAAATATGTATATATATATATATATATATATATATCGCATATTTCAAACTATTTGAAGTAAATAAAAATTTTTGATTTGCTTTTTTATTTCAGACTATGTGGAAATGATAAAGATTGTTTGTTTTGTTTGTTTGTTTTTGAAATTCGCCCAAAGCGAGGGCTATCTGCGCTAGCCGTCCCTAATTTAGCAGTGTAAGACTAGAGGGAAGGCAGCTAGTCACCACCACCTACCGCCAACTCTTGGACTACTATTTTACCAACGAATAGTGGGATTGACTATCACATTATAACGCCCCCGCGGCTGAAAGGGCCAGCATGTTTGGTGGGACGGAGATTCGAACCCGCGACCCTCAGATTGCGAGTCGAGTGCCCTAACCACCTGGCCAAATTTTAAAGATAAGAAACATCTACGTATATCCCCTTTAACTTCTATGTTTGCCGATTATTATCATTCTTTATGCGCGATCGTAAGATTTTAAAAATGTATCCAACTTATTACGTTCTGATGAGAAAAAGGCTGTATCTATAACTATTTGAACACAGTATGTTTAAAAATAATAATCACAAGAAAGTGGGTCACGAACGCTTTTATAACTATAGATAGACTCAAATGCACGAGTGAAATTCAGCTGTCAGATCAATGTGATAACTCTTCATGTACTATTCTAGCATCAAAGAACAGTCACACGTGGGTGACGTCATGATTCCTATTTTTACGTGTCTTGTAGTGACGTCAGATTCCTGTTCTAAATAGCCTGCAGAGTAAAGTTGTTTTTTCTGTTTTACATGATCTGTAGATCACGTGCGTTTTTTATTTTTTATTTTTTTTTCGTATGTTACACTGTATTGTGTTCTTTGACTTGATCGATAGTTCTGAAATGCAATTTAATAATGATAACATCTCTAGGCAACAGTAAGGTGCTTTTGCTACTATAAAAAAAGGACGGTAGAGCAGTATAACAAGAAATAAACATGATGTCACGCAATACCGTCCAATCAGGAGCCGATAATGTGCTTTGCTCAGAACACTCGTTTCCTCGGCATTTATCAAATTCCTTCTAAACTTCTTACTAGATAGCTAAAAGTGTCTTAGTTCGACGAATGGTGTACCTCATAATTACACGCAACAACGTTCCTTGAAAACTACTCACACGCATGTCCAGATTTCAAAAAACACCTTGGACTACTAATGTTGGTTTTATATTTACTATGCTCAACGGTTCATATCTTACCTACGACTATTAACAGCGACGTAACAGAACTTGGATGTTGGAAGGAAGGAGACAAATTATCAAGAAAACTCCAAAGAACAATTGAACAATACTATAACTTGCACCCATAATGCACATTGATTTAATTTGATGTCTTTCTTTCTGGAGATGCCGTCACTCCCATAGTTCTGCTAGTGGACATTGGAATTTTTAGCCCCAAGCGTTAATCAGACGTTTCCTTACTCAGTATAAAGAATCCAGACTTAATGGTGAAATCAACGAAGTAGAGCCATCTGCGTCATACCCAAAGAACGGAATCGCGTTTTCTCGAAATAATTATAAAACTTTCACAATACCATAGTTTAGAGTTTACAGGAAATAATTTAAATTACGCTAAAGTGGATTAAAATATTAATCACAATTTTGTTTAAAAGAAAAATTAGTTAGTTTTTTCGTTTGATTTCGTTCTTGCCTTAGGTTCCTCGATTTTCGCAAAATAATGTTTTCTTCAAACACTTTTCAATGATAAATAAGACCATTTGAATTAAAATCTTCATACTTTTAAATTAAATAAATGTGTTTTTGGATAAGAAGTGAAAAAAACATATTTCAATTATTTGAAAAAGTGTAATTCAAAGTTTTTACCTTTTTCTCCGTTTAATTTAAAAAGTGAAAATATAAAGATGATAGCACGTTACACACACACACACATGTAAATGCTTTTAAAAGTATGTTAATGGCAAAGCACATGACAGTAAATAATCCAGCATTCAACAATGACAGTAAATGCTTTAAATCGTTCGTTTGAGAGAAAATATGTAAAGTTTAACTATGACAGTAAATACTCCTAGGTTCAACCATAACAGTAATACCATAATATTCAATCAAATCAATTAGTACTATAAGGCTCAACCGTGAAAATCGTGACAGTAAATACTCAGCGACCCTACAAATCAGCAAATACTCTAAAGTTTAATTATGACAGTAAATACTCCGAGGTTCAACCATAACAGTAATACCATAATATTCAATCAAATCAATTAGTACTATAAGGCTCAACCGTGACAATCGTGACAATAAATACTCAGTGGCTCAACCATGACAGTAAATACCCTAAAGTTCACACAAATCAGTCAATACTGTAAGGTTCAACCATGACTGTAAACATGTCGAGGTGCTTGCATAACAACAAATACTGTGTTAGGAAGTACTCTAATATTCAACCATGGCAATAAAGACCCCAAGGTTTAACCAATTTAAGTAAGCATTCTGAGACTCATACAAAGGATAAATGCTAAAAGGTTCAATCACGACATGAAATACTATATATTTCACTATATCAGTAAATACTATAATGTTTAAGTAAGATAGGAAATACTCGTTGATTCACATGAACATAGTCTAAACATGAGACGCTTAAGTGTGTCTGAAATATAGTATACGTAACTAACGTCAGAATGTTGGTCGCACGATCAATTACACTACACGCCGTACAAAGGTCATTAAATAGTGTCCAGTAGAGAACTTAAAGTTATTCTTGGTTCATATTATATTAAAGTCATGATCTATGTACAAAGGTCATTAAATAGTGTCCAGTAGAGAACTTAAAGTTACTCTTGGGTCATATTATATTAAAGTCATAATCTATGTACAAAGGTCTTTAAATAGTGTCCAGTAGAGAACTTAAAGTTACTCTTGGGTCATATTATATTGAAGTCGGTAATCTATGTACAAAGGTCATTAAATAGTGTCCAGTAGAGAACTTAAAGTTACTCTTGGGTCATATTATATTGAAGTCATAATCTATGTACAGAGGTCATTAAATAGTATCCAGTAGAGAACTTAAAGTCACTCTTAGGTCATATTATATTGAAGTCATAATCTATGTACAAAGGTCATTAAATAGTGTCCAGTAGAGAACTTAAAGTTACTCTTGGGTCATATTATATTAAAGTCATAATCTATGTACAAAGGTCATTAAATAGTGTCCAGTAGAGAACTTAAAGTTACTCTTGGGTCATATTATATTGAAGTCATAATCTATGTACAAAGGTCATTAAAATTACTCTTGGATCATATTATATTGAAGTCATAATCTATGTACAGAGGTCATTAAATAGTATCCAGTAGAGAACTTAAAGTTACTCTTAGGTCATATTATGTTGAAGTCATAATCTAGATGCTCCTATTCTTCGCATTTTCCAGCTTCATTTCAGTTATTATGTAAGTACATAGTAAAATAGTGGCAGTTACACCAATTAGCACTACTGCTTTTAAGCAGTAGGCTTAGCTTTTTGTTTTCCATTTGACAGATTGATTGTTTATACAGTATATAAACCACCTGAACATCTTGCATATTCTACGTGAATTAATCATTTTTGATGTTGTTGTTTTGCTTACTAATGCACCAGAGCTAAAGTGTTACTCTCGGTTCTGCACAATTTCAAAATGTCAGTCCACATTACCACACCCTTTCCGCATTAAATTCAGCAAACGAGTAATTATCTGATTTCATGAAATACTTCCTGTGTCGCTTGGGTAATAAAGAACACGTCTTCATAAGGCTGCAGCAGGGGAATGTCGCTGACGTTTTCTATTAACTTTGAAAGATAAATATTTACAGCTTTACTAATTATAAATAGAAGTGGTATGAGAGTGTTTATCAAGTAGTGTAACCGCATTAGGTGAAATATGATATAACATTATCACGTTTTTTTTATTTTCCTATAACTTAAGATGCATTTCAAGAGTTTAATATGAGTATGGAATACTGAGTAACCCCCACACCTCATACAGTGTGTGTGTGGTACTTTTGAAATTTAATAATTTTCCACATGAGTTATGAGCTTAACAGTTTCACTCCTAAATTTGTGAAAAATGGAACAGCTCCCACTAGAAAGGCTAGAGTGTCGTTAGCCCAAACAGATATTATTTTAAAGTTTCAAATGACCCATTCTTCTTCTTAAAGCTCCTTAAGTTTTTTCTTCTTTTTTGTTTTTAGTGCTTAATAGTAACTGAGCTCAAAATGTAGTGGGATCACGTACATACATACAGTCAACTTGTGGTGGTGGTGAAGAGTACTGAAGGTGTATTACTAATGAGAGCCTCAGATAATCTAAATTAGTATTTTTATTAAAGGTTATTGTACATAATGAATTAGTAACTATATCCAATGCTCAATGCATTTGGAAAACAACCTTAAACTTTACAACTATTCTTCAAATTACTAAAAACCCTGTCTTCAACACAGTATTTCAATTCATGATGCAAGATGGTTCAATCTTAAGACCAAACTTTATATCTAGTTTAGGGTGAAATATCCCGATTTAGCGACATCCACATTCTTCCACTGCCATATTTTCATATTGACGTAGGACAACGTTGTTATGGTCGTCTATGTAAAGAAGTGTTACGGGCTTCAATGTGATAGGTACACAGCAAGCTGGCTCGACGTCAGGACTAAATGTGTGGAGTAGGCTTCGAATAAGGGCGTGATTGGTTCCGTTTAAATGCTCGCTGATTGGAAAAGGGCATTGTCCCTCACATTGATTAGCCAAGAAACCTTTCGGAGAAATAACCCAGTTATCCCAGCCAATATCATGCATATCGACATAAAGAGGCTTTCTTGAGCAGTGCTCAGCCTCCAATTTCATGTTTTGTTTGGTTACAAAAGACTGTTTCCTAGCGGTTTTAAGAACTTGTCGTTTCTGACGGAAGATGGCGCTGGATTCCGAGCATAAGAGAGAGCTCGTATAACATAAAACAGCAAAGACTCCAACTTTTGACACATCGGGAACACGTAGGATAGTGGGTGACATGTTTCCCTGTTGAGAAAATAGTTCAAGAGATACTGAATATTTCTGATCAGAGTTGAAACTATCCACTTCTAGTAGTTGTGTGCAGTCGACCGATATTTCGCACATTGACCACGATCGGCTGAGTTGCTTCCTCCCAAAAAAGGATTTCTCAGAAACGGCACCACCATTTGAAACTCCACCCCTTTGAGACATCCAGTAGAGGTCAAGAGTGAGCGGTTGTTGACAGTAAGTGTCCGGAAAAATGACTCTAATTTCAGCCTTGTAAAAGATGTCTTCCTGATTAGTAGGTGGAATAACGAAGTGAAATACGGCTTCAGTTTTCTCAACACCTAAAGAATAAAAATTCAATAAAATGAAACGCATTTCGGACCAGTGTCTCTCAAACTAAAGCTTTGTTCTTAAACTGCAGTACACAGATTTAGCCATTTTTTCGTAAGATGTGTTCTGTACATTTTGTTGTATTTGTGTTTTAGTGCTATTGACAGACTTTACCATGTGGAATGGTTACTTTTCTCTTACACTGTGGGCTTCTTCTTTAACAACATTTCAAAGGAGGGCACCACACACTTAATACATTTCGTGTAGTTAGCTTTAGCTGGGATCTACACTAAAGTTGAACTAAGTGTTCAATTTTGTATTATAATCCTGTTTTATCTTCATGTTTTCTCATATCATTAAATAACGTGATTCAAATCACAGCACCATATTTAAAATTTAAAGGTATGTTATTAAACATAATTTTATTAGTTGTCTGTTTGAGTTTTTTACTTTTTTGTTTCTACTATTTATGAGTTTTAGTGTATTCATAGGGAGAATTGGATATTCTATATTTAAATGATTCTGAATATGCAAATCTGCAAGTTCTCATAACACCACTGTCGATACAATATCGGGGTGGAACGGAATGTATTAGAACTACATTCTGACAATGTTTGGTATTTCGCAGATAGTGTGATGCTGCCTAAAATAGTTGTGAAGGTTATGTAACAGCTCTATTCGACGTAAAATATTCATACACTCATATCATAAAGACGTGATGTGAATCAGGGATTTAGAATTTCAAAGACGGGGATATCCCTTGTATTTAATGACATTGTAAAACAAAGGAACAACTTGGAGCACCAGAACCATACAGATAGAGGCCTGCAATGTGTCGCACTCCCGCCCCAGTAAGCAAAGTGTGGTGTTATATAACAGGTGAGAATCCACGAACACTAAGGTCAATGGCTGAAGCTGTCCACGTGTCCCAGGCACAGCACACGACATAATAAAGAATGATTTCTATCTCGAAAAGGGACACAAGTCACAAGTACACATGTTGCTTCCATGAGATATCGTTCAACCGTTACATATCTCAAGCAAAAAGAGAATGAATAGTGTGTTCATGCTATTCCATACAATACATTCCGGCCAAGTTGCCTATGGACTTCTGTGCGATCGCCCTCCTACACTAGGTAGATTATGGAAAGCATCAGGAAGGAGAGGTTTGGTTTTGGACAGTCTTACAACATAGCATTTTGCAGCGGAAACGACCCTGCAGTACTATTGGCAAGATGCACGGTCGTCAGATAGAGTATGATCGAACATGGCGACACGAAATGTAACGACGTGGTGAGACTCCATAATCATTTTATATAACGTACTCAATCTTTGTAGCTTTACGTTAAATGCTTAGGATTACAAGTAATCAGGCTTGAATTTCACTTAATCTAAACTTAGCATGTAAATTGTTAACTTTAGTCATATTAATCTTTTCTTGTCAGTCTTTGCATTTTTATACAGATTATGCTTTAAATTATGATGCATAAATCTTCTATGCACAATTTGCTTTCGAGTTTATGTGTTAATATATAATGAGAATTCATTCAAAGACATAATTCTTTCCCTCCTAAATAAAGAACAATTGTTTCTTTGAGCTAGAACAATTCGTATTTCTAAGAATTCTCTGTCTGTGTTCTAAACCTCATTTGTCTGGCATCACGAACTTTGTAACAATCACTGTTTAAAGGCTATCCGGTTTCAGGTTATAGAAAGAGATTGAAGTGGAACTTCTCTTGAATGAGTTTCTTTTTTGTACTGAAATCTGAAGTTTAAGCAGACCAAGTAATGAAATAATGTCTTTGTATTTCATTTTTAGACTACTAGGTATCGAGTTATTGTCAACAGCTGTAACTGGATTCTTTCTACTTATTCTGACATAATATATGGGCGCTTTTTCGTATTTATGTAACATATTAATTCCCATCTTGAGAAATTGTGTTCGAGAAAAGCCCGAAATTTCAAATTGACATATAATTAGAATTCGTTCAAAAAACCAGAATCTGATCACACCTAGGGGTTAGAATGTCAGTATTGTGAACCAGAGGGTTCGTGTCACGCATCCCGTTGTTACAAAACCGTATTCCGTACATTGGGGGCAAAAATACGTTACAAGAGTGACAGTCAAAACCCATTATTTGACCAAACGAGGTTAATTTAAGAGTTGGTGGTAGGTGCTGTTGACTAGTTGCCTACCCTTTAGTCGATTAGGGACGTGTATGTGCAGATGATTTTTGTGGCTTTGCGATGAAAATTTTGAACAAACATGTTACCGACATGTAAATACGATAAATAAATGATTAACGCATGAGGTGAAGCTACTGTATGGATATCACTGTACGATAGACACTGTGGAGTTTCATTTATAGTACAAATTGTAAGAGCATCACTGTGTGAGAGACACTGTGGGATTTCATTATATAGCACAGGTTGTGGAAACACCACTATGACAGACACTGTGAGGTTTCAATATATAGTACACGTTGTGGAAACACGACTGTATGATAGACACTGTGAGGTTTCACTATATAGTACACGTTGTGGAAACACGACTGTATGATAGACACTGTGAGGTTTCACTATATAGTACACGTTGTGGAAACACCACTCTACGATAGACACTGTGGGATTTCAATATATAGTACAGGTTGTGGGAACACGATTGTATGATAAACACCGTGGGGTTTCAATATATAGTACACGTTGTGGAAACACGACTGTATGATAGATACTGTGAGGTTTCACTATATAGTACACGTTGTGGAAGCACCACTCTATGATAAACACCGTGGGGTTTGAATATATAGTACAGATAGTGGGAGCACTACTATAAGGTTGACATTGCGAGGTTTCATTATATAGCACACGTTGTGGAAACACCACTCTATGATAAACACCGTGGGGTTTGAATATATAGTACAGATAGTGGGAGCACTACTATAAGGTTGACATTGCGGGGTTTCATTATATAGTACAGGTTGTGGAAGCACCACTGTATGATAAACACTGTGTGGTTTTATTATATAGTACAGATTGTCTGAGCACTACTATATGATAGACATTGTGAGGTTTGAATGTGTAGTACAGATTGCGGTAGCACCACTGTATGATAGACACTGTGGAGTTTCGTTATATAGTACAGGTTGCGGGAACACGACTGTATGATAGACACTGTGGGGCTTCATTATATAGTACAGGCTGTGGAAGCATTACTGTATGATAGACACTGTGAGGTTTCACTATATAGTACACGTTGTGGAAGCACCACTCTATGATAAACATTATGGGGTTTCATTATAGAGTACAGATTGTGGGAGCACTACTGTATGGTTGACACTGTGGGGTTTTATTGTATAGTACAGATTGTGGTAGCACTACTATATGATAGACATTGTGGGGTTTGAATATGTAGTACAGACTGTGGTAGCACTACTATATGATAGACATTGTGGGGTTTGAATATGTAGTACAGACTGTGGTAGCACTACTATATGATAGACATTGTGGGGTTTGAATATGTAGTACAGACTGTGGTAGCACTACTATATGATAGACATTGTGGGGTTTGAATATGTAATACAGATTGTGGTAGCACTACTATATGATAGACACTGTGGAGTTTCATTATATAGTACAGGTTGTGGAAGCACCAGTGAATGATAGACACTATGGAGTTTCATTATATAATACAGGTTGTGGGAGCACTACTGTATGATAGACACTGTGGGGTTTCATTATATAGTACAGATTGTGGGGGAACTACTGTATGATAGACACTGTGAGGTTTCATTATATAGCATATGCTTTGGGGGTAGTACTATGGGGGCTGGATGAAATACACTGCAACAGCACCATGTTGTATGATAAACGTATAAACGTTGTTTGGGGGTGTCAGAGGAAGACGTGGAGTTCCTATATTATAATTCAAGTTATAAATCCCTGATCCACACAATCGGCATCCAGAAACAGAGTGAAATGTGGCTCGTATTGCTAGCAGTAGTTACGTAACTTTCTGGTAATTAAACTTTAACAGAGGTAGGCAAAATATGATAAGGAACCATAGCTATAAAATTTTCACTTTATTAGAGGTGTTGCAGAGGTAGGTGTGGGCCACTGTATAGTAAACGTTGTGTGGGCATGCCTGTATGATATACACTGGGGAAACCACTGTATAATAAACCCTGTAGAGATCTCGGTGTATAAGATACCCCCGATAGGGGTTATATGACAGTATTGTAAACACTATATAAGAGTGTCACTGTACGATGCAAGCCACTGTTTAAAACACACTGTGACGACACGACGGTGTGCTTCACGATGTGTGTGTGCGTAACTGGGAGAAAGGGGGGAGGGGTGATACGAAACACGCTCTAGGCTGATGTTGTTTTAGCGCAAAACTACCCAACGGGCTATTTGCGCTCTGGAGCGCGCGGAATCGGACCTCTGATTTTAGTGCGATAATCCCATACACTTAGGGCATACCAACCACGGGAGGACAATACTGTGGGAAAAGCATTATATAATGTATGTTATGGGGACGCAATGACTTAGGGTGTATTTTTTCTTACCTGTCTGCAATTAAATTACACAATCCATACTTGTTAAATATTAAAGTCAGAACATAGCTTCCAATGAAATACCGTAAAACAATTTATTTTTCAGAATTTTTGATTGTTTTCTTTTTTCGTGCTCTTTATTTATAAATAAAATCTACAAAATACTACTGAGAACTAAGTAGTAAGTGAAGCAGAAACCTTTTTATTCTGTGTCAATTAAAGCCGTTTACTTACATAGCATAGAAGGGGAAAATCGTTGGTCGGATTTCTAAAACTGTATTTTCTCAATTTTCATTTCACTTCGAAAAATCTTATAGGAAATATTTCTTCACAATGTTTCCTACAAATATATATATATGATTTATGACCTTGAGTTGTTCGTCGTGGTTCAAGAACTCTCGTACAGCTCCATCTATTGATAATATGATTAACTGTTAGTGTTTGTGTTCTTTATTGTTTGTGCTGAATCTAAACAGACTGTTAACATTC